TATCAGCATACTGTCAAGGGATCGCATGGTCACATTGGTATCAGTATAATGGCAAATACGATTTTACATTATCAACATACTGTTAAAGAGCCGTACAGTCATATTATTATCAGACTATGTATGGTAAACAGTAACATAATTAACACCGTTATACTATAAAATATCTTACGCTATCCACATACTGTCAAAGGATCGCATGGTCACATTGGTATCAGTATAACGGTAAACAATAACATGATTCCATACAGTGATCATTACAGTAAGGAGGCAAACATATAATTTCAGTAGTGATGAAAGATTACGGAATCATCAGAATAACAGAAACAAGATATTAGACGATATCTTATATAGTAAGGGATAGTGCCTGCTTATTGACATGTTAACGGGATATTGTATAATCTTCACTATAGCTACAGGGAATCACATTATGTTAAGCATATTGGAATCCCATAAAAAGTTACGTGTGTAGTGTGAAAAAAAAATATATACGATAAAATCTGTATAGTTATTACCATAATATCAAAGAGTGCTATAATAAGCGGTGTAGTGACGGAAAAGTTTACGATAATCGACAGAGTTACGCGTTGTAGTAGATCAGACATCCGATATGTCTCTATTCCATAATCGTTGAGATGTTTTTGTTTGCATATGTTTAAGCACACGCTCATTCGCAATTGTGTGTAGTGTTTTTTGTTTTTTGTCAATGAATCTGTTTTTCTTCTTTTTCTTTCTTTTCTAGATCAGGCTTGAGGCTAAATACTTGTAGAAAAATAAGATCTCCTGGTAATCCCCTGCCCATCGCTTGGTTTTTATTCTGTTATTATAAAGATTAGGATAAATCATAGTCATATGAATAGTGTATTTGTTTAACAAATGGAGTTTTCTAGAAGTATCCATATAACAGTCTTTTACTACTAGTTTACTATGGTTTGCCTTTATATGTGACAGATATTTAAATAGATAACATGAATAGTTGTAATCATGACGGATTCTATCGTAATAAGTTGTTTGTTCTTCAGTTATATCAGAAAAACGATTTTCATCAGAGTGTTAAAATAGTTATTTTGTACAAGACGTCCTGAGAACGTTTCGTTGATTTTTCTACAGGTTACATTACCGTGAGAAGAGTAACTATGGTGCTAAAAACTTACCTGTTAGATAATTCTTTGTGCTGGAGCAAAAAGTAAGAATTATATTTTGTAGAGAGGCTTGATGACGAGATAGGTTATTTGTTTTAAATATTTTAATTTTATCAATATACTTTTTGTGATCATGCATGCTTTGAATATCACGATAATTCAAGTTTCAATACCTGTAGTCAATAATTATAGACAACAAACTATATTCAAAAATAGAGTTAAAAAAAACAACACTTACATCCAAGTTCCCAGACCAGAGGTCGCTGCTGTTGCAATTATCAAAAGAAGAACTACTACGTCCACTCTCAAAGAAACAGGTTTCATTATTATTATTGCGCTAAACACCTACAATAGAATCACTCAAAAACAGACCACCTTTCAAGACGTGATAGACACTTCTTATTATCTGGAAGTAAACATGGACTGATCTGATTTTTGGATTCTTATGGGGTTTAAACTATTTCTTTCTATGAATGATTTCAGTAAGCTTTTCAATATTTTAAAAACGTTTCAAATCGAAAGCAAAGCACATCCGAAAATTAGTGTTATGTTGGAAACCGACTCACAGTTTGTGTATATTTACGTGTAAAATACCGTATTTAACTGATATAACTTCCCCAATGTAGTAGAATTAGAACTAACGTTTCAGATAGAGAAAGCCAAAAGTAAGTGAATCTCAGCTAACTTGTGTGACAATCGGGAAGGTCTTCATCTCAGGAATTTTGTATCTCTAATTGTTTAAAACGCTCCAATCTTTATATTGACCGCTCTGCACAGGCCTGTTTTATTGTATATTTCCACGTGCAAAAATCTATAGCGCTTCTGCAAAGTTTTTATATGGAATATTTTACACAAAGTTACCACAAGTCATGAGTTGTTCTCCACTCTTTACTCTAGATCTTTTGTCCTGCAAAAGGTTCAATAACTTTTTGCCAGAGGAAGCAACTGACATAGCTTAAAGGTTTTGCTTCTGTCTTTGAAATGCTCCGTTACAAAACGCCCACTTGTTGCTACAGTACTTTCATTATCCATTTCGCCAAGAATAATTCACCTACAAAAAATAAATGAAATAAAGTTTGACGTCACACAATGGTTTTTCCTGACACATTTAAATAATCCCAATTATAAAGTGGTCCTACAACACAGCGTTCGTGTCTAGCAGGATTATGAAAGGTCCAGAAGCTCGTGATTCACTTGTAACTGATTTAACTCGTGTGTCGCTTCGTGGTGCACTTTCCCAAATGAGAGAGTCCACTCGGCCGACCACTTGGTAAGTGAAATGGTCTCCAGAAAAGGCGTTACCGGTGATTTTGAGTCAATGACGATGAGATCAGTTTTCTTCTAACTATAAAGAACAATAATACAATGTTTAATTATTTAACAGTTTAACAAAGTCTCACTGTTCAAGATTGTTTCACCAAATTAAGAATACATATTTAATTATTTGTCAGATCAACACATTCCCACTGCAAAAACACGTTCAGTATTTCACCATGCATCCACCCCGTCACCCTGTTGTTTTAAAAAGTTCATGTGAGCATTGTTCAAAGAAACTAATGGGTTTAATGTTACATCTGTATTTCACTATGAGTTTTTTTTATCAATCGAAGAAATGAGCTGATTTAGCATTACTTATATATGTATATCATAAACAGGTTAGTTTAACACTACTTACATATATATATTATAAACAGGTTAGTTTAGCACTACTTATATATATATTATAAACAGGTTAGTTTAATACTACTTATATATATATTATAAACAGGTTAGTTTAACACTACTTATATATGTATTATAAACAGGTTAGTTTAACACTACTTATATATATATTATAAACAGGTTAGTTTAACACTACTTATATATATTATAAACAGGTTAGTTTGACACTACTTATATATATATTATAAACAGGTAACTTTAACACTACTTATATATAGTTCATAATGTTTTCAATAGATATCAATCGAAAAACAGTTGGAGTAACATTTTTATATGTATTGTACTATAGGTTTCTGCGGATATCGATAGAATAAATCGGTTGGTTTACCGATAAAATAAATTTCATACCGGTTTCTGTTGGTTTACCATTAGATATTGTTTTTGCAAGTTTCTGTGGACATGAGTTGAAGAAACCAGTTAATGCAATGTTGCTTATATATTTCACTACAAGTTTTTACAGCTAGTTTTTAATTAGAATTAGAATTAAGGAAAACATGGTGCAAAATTGACGAGAAATAATGTCTTCACATATCCCTAATGTGAAAGTCAAGATAAATAGTGTTTTCATATATTCCTAACGTGAAAGTCAAGAGAAATAGTGTTTTCATATATCCCTAACATGAAAGTCAAGAGAAATAGTGTATTCATATATCCCTAACGTGAAAGTCAAGAGAAATAGTGTCTTCATATGTCCCTAATATGAAAGTCAAGAGAAATAGTGTATTCATATATCCCTAACGTGAAAGTCAAGAGAAATAGTATCTTCATATATCCCTAACATGAAAGTCAAAAGAAATAGTGTCCTCATATATCCCTAATGTGAAAGTCATGAGGAATAGCGTCTTCATATATCCCTAATGTGAAAGTCATGAGGATTAGTGTCTTCATATATCACTAGTGTAAAACAACCATGAGATATAGCGCCTTCATATATCTCTAATGCAAGAGTCACAAGAAAAAATGTCTTTATATGTCCCTAGTGTAAAAACCACAAAGAATAGTGTCTTCTTGTGTCCCTAGTACAATATTAAAAGACTGTATTTAAAGTGAAGTGAGTGAAAGAAGCCTAAATGTACAAGTAAAAAAATGTATTGTTCTTTAATAAGGGCAAAAATCATGTTCGAAAAATGTAATTTGTGGTGGAAAATGACGACTTAACTTATCTTGAGCCTAAAGTCAAGTTTTGGTTTCACTTAAAACTAAACAGACTTACTTTTAGCTTCTGTGGCTAGTAGAACTCATCGCTCCACACTACAGCGGTATAACTGTTGCGTAAATGTTTATCAGACACAAGACAGGACAAATCTTCATAAGGCAATGTCGGAAGCTCAGTAGTACAGAGTGAATACGACCATTGTTATATCGTACAATTAACTATTATATTATTTACCAGATACACAAGCGCAAGGAGCTACAAACTGCATCTTGCTCTTTATACGACGATTTGTTAAACGCTGCTTTAAGATCTACACTATAACTTGCATTCTACATACACAATTATAGTAGTGCTACACCGGGATGAATGTGTATCTATTTATATATATACGTGGATACACACTATCGTGCTTATAGTTGAAAGTCGGCTTCGAACATTCATCACAGCTAACAGCCAATAGGGGATGAATTCAGAACACTACTGATACGCTGATTGGCTGGTTGTGTCTTTCCATTGGTAGGTGTGATGTGTACGTGTAGCGTAAATTGTTGAATGGAAAGAAGCGTGTCAAAACAACAACAAACTAAAACTTTGAACCAATCATCACGAGATACCAGTCTAAATATGCTAATTGAATTGAAAGTAATCTCCGATAAAATAAAACATTCAAAGCTGCCCTTTTTGTTAGGTTGTTTATTACACTATCCTAACAGTAATTTGCCAACAGTTAGCTGAAGAATCATCAAAAGTATCAAAGAATTTGTCATAATTGCTAAGATAAAGTACGTTTTGAGTGAAAAATCCGAGTTCACTAAAATAAGCTAAAAAGAACTTAACGATAACGATATACATGTTCAGCCTTAACGGCGAGACAAACCGAATCATGTTCAGGCTTAGTCTACTGGCGTTCTACATGCTCGTGCATGTAGTTGGACGGAGAACCTTGTTTTGTTTGCTGCAGTTGCGTGTATTGTTTATTAGTGTTTCAAAATTTCTCATTTTCGAAGCTATATAACCTTGTTCACATCCAAGACATTGAAGCAGGGTGAGGAAAAAAAAAAGACACTGCAAATCCTTCATAACGTTGTTCACTGACCCTGTACAACCAGACACACTAGTAGCTCAAACAAAAGAGTCATATACATGTTTTCAATGTGAACGATGTTATATTAATGGCTAACTTCACCGTGCTATGTAAGGCAGTGTTTACATTAGGCTTTAGGAGAACTCCTGAAGAAGAATAGTCAACTATTCGAAAGCGCTCGAGTTTTGGGTCTTATTTTAAGTTTTATTTGCATAATATTGATCGATATAATGCTGTTTAGACATAACAAGTTGTGTATAATAATTATGTACTAATTATAGCCTGCAGGAAGAAGCATTTAGGGATTTTCCTGAATAGTAACATCAGTTACTGCTGGTAGACTTTGGTTAATATGTAAAGTTACGCTAGTTATGTTCACAGTTGGTACGTACATATCGTGTTTTATGTATAGACTGGTTTGTAAATGGTTAATTATGTACATTTACTTAGAAGATATAAAGGCATATTTTGCCTGAGCAAAAAAAACAATTTGATAAAGACTACAATAATTACCTTAGACTACATTACAAGAGAATTATGGTGTGTTCTATAAACTGAAGTATTCGTAGGAATGTGATATATGCGAGACAAATGATCACGAAGACAATCTATACCAGGCTGACTGAGAAATAAGGTGGATATTTTTAAGTTGTTGTAATTGAAATATCCATAGATTTTTCAATTTTTTTCTTTATATGATGATATTATGATTAATAAATCATTTGTTCAATGAAAAAACCGAAGACAAAAGAAGCCTTCTAGAAGATGCCACTCAAGTGGAGGAGACCACAGAGTACACCTGTAGCCTTCGGTCCTCCTTCTACAGGTACTACATTGCTGCTGTGTATCTATACAGGCATTGGTTTAATTTTGATTTACTTTCCCCTTTATGTCTTTACTATGAAATCTATTTACATAATAAGCATTTTCATTTTTCTTAGATCCTGTCTTTTTTTAGTTTAGTTCATATTGTATTCAAGTTAGCTTTCTTTATTTTGAGTTGCATTTGGTTGGTAATGTTTTAAGTTCAGGCTTAAATTTTGTAGATACGTTGGTTTATTTTGATTTTGAATTTATATTATTCCATATTTTACGCTTAAGAATCTTTATCATCTTACCTTGTAATTACTCTTTTGTGTTTATTAGTGCTATGTTCAGTATGACTCTGCTGAGTTTACTTTCCCATTTAGTTTTACGTATATTTCACTAAATTATTTTTTTTTTTTTACATTTTGAATTTATCCTATATCCTATCTGAGTTTGATAGTTTCATGTTCTATTTAATGAGTTTGTTTCTTCCTTGTGCTCCAGCAGATAAAGAATATCATATTTTGAGTACGTACTATAATTCGGCAGTGTATAAAATGTGTAGTTGTTATAAAAAGCCAATAATACCTTTGAGAAATAAAAATACATTATTTATTGTTCGTTTATGTCAATTTCGCTTTTCTTTTTGCCCTACTTCGTTTTATTCTTCTGCATTTGTTTCCTTGAAGCCGCCTTTAGTGGGATACCTCGTACCTGTTACACAAGATCACCTTATTATACGTCTTAGATGAGTGTGACGTAGTTGTCCATTCAATTCTTTTAAGATCTTATCTAGTGCCAATGATGAACGTATGACAGAAAGCTTGCTCATACACAAACTAAAGCTTGAAATTAAGCAACTCGACTCCATGTATAAAGTACTCTTGGTTTGATAGATTACTAGAGTACGATTTCGGGTTCTTTTAATAATTTTCTCACAACAACAAATCAGTGGTATCGACAAACAAGCTTTTAAAGTTGTGTGGGCATCACCAGGTTATGCTCGCATTGCTCTGGTCACTTTGTATCCATATATGCAGAACCTGATTGTGTCTGTATCCAACGAAGCGAATAATGCTTTAACATTGCATTGTATGCATTTACTATAAAACAATAGTATATTATAAGCAACTAGCCAAGTTGTATGTTATATACACGGGGGAGCATTGAATCTTGCAAAATGGAATAATATAGTTAGTTATATATTTCCGTTAGCTCATTAATTATTTGTTCTCCCCCTTTACACTTCCCCTACGTACATAGTTACAGAAATGAATTATACAATACTTATGACAGGTGTTAAAATACAGATATGAAATCAGTTCCTGCCATTATGTCATTGGGATTCAGGTATCACATGGTGTCGTTTATATTGCGGTGAAAATTGCACAGTAACCTTCACATGAGAGAAGAGTTTGTTTTGAAAATCTATAGATCGTATAACCCTGTTAAAATACACCTGCATGTCAGATTTCATGTTTCTAGCCCTTGCCATCTTTTGAATAAATTCTGAGTTTTAATTAAAATGATATGATGTATTATTTTATATACCAAACATTGAAGAAAACAGATGAAAAAGTCAAGGTAGGTAGGAAAATCAATACAGCGCAATTCTGTGGTACTTGTCTAAAGAAGTAAAGTTTAGAACAACAAAATTTCAAGTTGAGGTTTATGAAAGATCCCTTTGATTGACAGAACAGCAAGATCATGATTGGGCGACCCTATTTCTTTATTTGTTTTAGCTCTGAAAACTCAACTATATTTACAGCTAATATGATTTCAATCTGTAGAACTTTAATTAGAGAAGGAAATGCTGCCTTAAGAAGGGCTAGACTACAAAGAACGTCACCAAGGTTTTCCACGGTCTTCCCTCGGAGAAATGTCCTTACTAAAAGAACCTCAACTGTAACAGCATCAACGAAAACAAATCCTTTGACTGTAAGTAGTTACTTCATCATGGACTGATAGGAATGCAACCATCACAGCATAATACAACGTCACTTTGCAGTGTTCATTATATTTGGTTGCTGGTGCTTTCTGGTGCCTTAATAATGCAATGAAAACAGTGTTATAGCAACTTAGGCAGCTGGCTCTGTCACTTTGATTGAACATCCACCTCATTTTCATCATGCTGTGACACATTTACACTATATACAAAGATCGTGTGCCAGGATATATCTGTTCAGAAAATTCCTAGTGTTTGAATTGTGGAGATAAAAGATCAGTATCCTTGGCGAGGTCAATCTCGGTGCTTTATAAGATATATGAAACACATATGGTACGCGAAAGTATAATGCAAAGACAATTTTGGATAGTAAAAATTGGAAATACTTGATTTGCAGAAGAAATAACCTTTCTTTCAGGGCTTTGGCTCAATTAACAACATCCTCAGTTTTCTTAAAGGTTGTCAAAATTGAAACAAATGTACAGCTTATCACATGAGCAGCATTGTTCCGACATGTTCACCTGGTACCTGAGAATTTTTGCTGTTTATGTGGTGGTTTATATGGATGAAGCTCTAGAGAGACCGGTCCACCCTGTCATGCAATAATATAGTAGTACGTGCCTCTAATGGATGACTTCAACACAAGATAATATTCTGATGTAACGGACGTTATTTGCTGCTGAGCTCCTGTTGAGACCAACATATTATCTGAGCTGTCAAAACTCTGCTTTTGGACAAGTGCTTTCCAAGACAATAGTGGCTTTTCTGTGAGTCACATACTTATCAAGCTTGTGTAAACCATCCTTTTTCACAAGTTAATACTTTCAGTCACAAAAGTAATTATAAGTGAATGTTTCTGCAAAAAAAAAAGGGACAACAGTAACAGAAAGTGGAATCCTTCTATTTCGAGTACTCAAATTATACCACTCAAATATGAATAACTGCTTCTTGCTTCCAAATATTCAAGAGAAAATATTCGCAGCAGGTTGATGAGAGTCAGCTTTAACATCTTATGTAACACAAGTGTTTGTACATTAACTGAACTCTACTTCAAAAAAGGGACAAGAGTAACAGAAAGTGGAATCCTTCTGTTACGAGTACTCACATTATACCACTCAAATATGAATAACTGCTTCTTGCTTCCAAATTTTCAAGAGACAAAATTCGCAGCAGGTTGATGAGAGTCAGCTTTAACATCTTATGTAACACAAGTGTTTGTACACTAACTGAACTCTACTTCAATGTATTCCAGGTAGACATGCCAGACACTACAATAGGTGTATTAGACTTTGTTTGGGACGTGATTGCACTCGCTTGTCCGTGGTTATTGGAGACTAGCTGCCATAGCCATCCTCTTCTAGGCCTTGTGGATCCTAAATCAAACCAGCAGGCCATAAGGATACAAGAACAAGCGCAGTACTTGAGT